ATGAAAGATTTTAAAGCACAGTCAGACACATGGTAAAAAAAATTTTTTAGATTTATTTTTATTTATTTGAAAGATAGAGTTACAGAAAGAGGTAGAGACAGAGAGAAAGGTCTTTCCGTTGGTTCACTCCCCAAATGGCTGCTACAGCCAGCTCTGCACTGGCCCAAAGCCAGGAGCCAGGAGCTTCTTGCGGGTCTCCCATGTGGATGCAGGGGCCCAAGCACTTGGACCATCTTCTACTGCTCCTCCAGGCCATAGCAGAGAGCTGGATCAGAAGAGGAGCAGCCAGGACTAGAACTGGTGCCCATGTAGGCTGCCAGTGCTTCAGGCCAGGGCTTTAACCTGCTGCGCCACAGCACTGGCCCTGCACATGATAAATTATATACTATCGACAGTTACTAGTGGAGGTTAATTTTATTTTGTAGCTTACTTATTCCTGTCATTTCCCCATTCCCTTTTTTTTTGTTGTTGTTCATCTTGACTTACTGGAATTTTGGTCCTTAGTGGTGGAAATATCTCATTTATATCATTTGTCCTTTTAATCTGTTTATGTTCTGTATTGTCATTTAAAGATTTTAAAATCTTGAGGTGCCAGCATTGTGGTATAACTGGTTAAATTGGCCGCCTGCAGTGCAGGCAACTCACAAGGGCTCCAATTCAAGTCAGGGTTGCTCCACTTCCGTTCAAGCTACCTGCTAATGTGTCTGCCAAAGCAGCAGAGGACAGCCTAAGTGCTTGAGACCCCACACTCAAGTGGGAGACGCAGAAGAAGCTCCTGTCTCCTGGCTTTAGCCTGTCCCAGCCCATGCCATTGAGGCCATTTGAGGAGTGAACCACTGGATGGCAAACTTCTCTCTCCCTCCCTCTCTGTGACTCTGCCTTTCAAATAAATAAAATAAATCTTTGAAAGAAGAAAACTTTTACAAGTTTTATGAGTTTTTACCATTGATGGCTTCTAGATTTTTGTGTTTTGCTCAGAAAAGACTTTCCCATGCAATAGTTGTACATTTCCTATATATCCTAGTGTGTTCATGGTTAGAGTGGTTTTTGTTTGTTTGTTTGTTTGTTTGTTTTTGACAGGCAGAGTGGATAGTGATAGAGACAGAGAGAAAGGTCTTCCTTTTGCCGTTGGTTCACCCTCCAATGGCCGCCACGGACGGAGCGCTGCGGCCGGCGTACTGCGCCGATCCAAAGGCAGGAGCCAGGTGCTTCTCCTGGTCTCCCATGGGGTGCAGGCCCAAGCACTTGGGCCATCCTCCACTGCCTTGCCGGGCCACAGCAGAGAGCTGGCCTGGAAGAGGGGCACCCAGGAAAGAATCCGGCGCCCCAACTGGGACTAGAACCCGGTGTGCCGGCACCGCTAGGTGGAGGATTAGCCTATTGAGTCGCGGCGCCGGCCTAGAATGGTTTTTTAATAGATTATGATCTTTAATTTTTACCTGTAATTCCTTTTTGTTTATGGTTCCAGGTACTGTCCTTTTTTGTGTATATACTACTGATGATTTTATACACATATATGTGACATTTCTCTTTCTGACTGCCTAGTAGCTCAGAAATTTTATGTAATCAAATTTCTGCCATGTCCCTAATAAGGTAATAAGTTAGTGGTTGGACGAATTTTTTTTCAAAGTCAAATAGGAATTTTGAGTACATATACCTGTCTCTTTCAGATTGACACTGATTCTGAGAATTTTAGTTTTTAAATTAACAATAAGGACTGAGGTGTATGCAGTTAATAAGTGCCAGCCAACATTTTAGTCATTTGGGGTTTTTTTTTTCCTGTAAATTGTATTTCTAGTTTGGAAATTTCCCAAATTCTTCTGAGTTCCTTAACCACTTTCACTTACCATATAACTCTGTATGTAATAGAGTATTAAATGTAATTGACTTCTAAACCTTGTGCTGGAGACCCGATGTGCTATGTTGATCTTGTCCACTTGACTTTCTTGTCTACAACAGTCAAGTTTAATGCTTTGTTCAGTTACATTTTCTATGAAGAAAATTGAATCCTATTGAATCCTTCCCAAGCATTAATTGGCCATTTTTATTCATAGGCCTATTGTGTTAAATGATGTGGTTAAATGATTAGCAAGATGGGGTCATTCATTGATTGTATGACTTTGGACAAGTTGCTTGACCTCTGAGCGCTCATAACTTGCATGCTGAATTATACTCTTGGACAAGGTGGTAGTTGAGATTTTGGGTATTACAGAAGATCTTGGGATCTTAAGAGGATTTTCTGAGGTGTTCACCTCTTCAGATTTTGTTCCCTTCTCCCCCTGTACCTGTTGCCATACTTGGATTCTTTCCCTTTTTTTTCTTAAATGGATTACATCCTTGCTTTTACAGAATTTGAAATTTAAGGGATTCATGATTAAATCATTAAGTCTCTTTGCAAAATGTACACAAACAATTTGGCTGCTTAGTGCTGCCATCTTGTGTCTATCATCTTATGAGAGAAAAAATAAGTGCAGAGATGTTTTGTTTATGTTTAGTTTTGGTGCAACTTGAAAAATGCTAGACTTTTGATTTAGTTGTTTAAGGTACCTTGGTTAAATTGAGATCATACAGTGTTAGTTTTAAAAAAAATGCTTTGACATTTGGTTGTGATAATTTCCATTATTCCTTAGTCAAATGTAGTGAAAATTTATTTGAAGATATATCAAAGTTCTTAATTGCTGTGCTGCAGTAAGTCTTCAAGAATTGATGAAATTATTAATTGCTCTATGATACATTCTCCACTTTATTGGTATTAGATCTCTTGCTACTGAGACCCATTTATTTATAGTTTTTTATCAGATTAAAATTATACTGTTCTGTTTATTGACAACAGATTTCTAAAAGGAACATTTAAAAGCTATATAGTTTTTTAGAGTTGTTTAGTTACTATGAGATATTTACTTACACCAAGTAATATAAAATGAAATTGTCTTTAAAAACATGACATGGAGAGAATTTTAGCAATGATTTTTCAAATATCGCTAAAAATAGTCTTTATATACTTTATATTTTTTTTTCTTTTTTTTAACTTTTATTTAATAAATATAGATTTCCAAAGTACAGCTTATGGACTACATTGGCTCCCCCCACCATGACTTCCCTCCCACCCGCAACCCTCCCCTTTCCTCTCCCTTCCCCCTTCCATTCACATCAAGATTCATTTTCAATTCTCTTTATATACAGAAGATCAGTTTAGTATGCATTAAGTAAAGATTTCAACAGCCTGCACCCACATAGAAACACAAAGTGAAAAATACAGTTTGAGTACTCATATAGCATAATCTCATGTACAGCACATAGACAGAGATCCTACATGAGAGCAAGTGCACAGTGACTCCCGTTGCTGACTTTACCAAATGACACTCCTGTTTATGGCATCAGTAATCTCCCCTATGCTCCAGTCATGAGTTTCCAAGGCTATGGAAGCCTTTGAGTCTCCGACTCTTATCTTATTTAGACAAGGTCATAGTCAAAGTGGAAGTTCTCTCCTCCCTTCAGAGAAAGGTACCTCCTTCTTTGAAGACCCGTTCTTTCCACTGGGATCTCACTCACAGAGATCTTTCATTTAGTTTTTTTTTTTTTTTTTTGCCAGAGTGTCTTGGCTTTCCATGCCTGAAATACTCTCATGGGCTTTTCAGCCAGATCCGAATGCCTTTAGGGCTGATTCTGAGGCCAGAGTGCTGTTTAGGACATATGCCATTCTATGAGTCTGCTGTATACACTTTATACTTTTAACAGATGATGTGGGCTTCTTTTAAAATGTTAAGACACTTGTTATTTTGTACTTTTAAAAATCCAGAATGTTGTTATTGTTCAAATTCCATCGAGTGTAACTCTGGAAAAGAATCTTTAAAAATCATAGTTTGCTCTCATTGTGGCACAGTGCATTAAGCGACTGCTTGTGACTCCCACATATCAGAGAGGCCTTTGGAGTCTGGCCACCTCATTCTGACCTAGCTCCCCACCTGGGAAAGCAGCAGAAGGTGACCCAGCTACTTGGGTCCCTGCCCCCCTTAGGGAATACCTGAATGGAGTTTCTGGCTTCTGGCCTGTTGCAGACATTTAGGAAGTGAACCAGCAGATCAAAAATAGCTTTGTCTTTCCCCCTGTGTCAGTCTGCCTTTCAAATAAATAAAATAAATTTTTAATGATCTTTTTTTTTTTAAAGTTAGAGTCAAAGGGAGGCTGAGAGAGAGAGAATGGTCTTCTATCCACTGGTTCTCTCCCCAAATGGCCATAATAGCTGGAGCTGCACTGATCCAAAGCCAGGACCCAGGAGCTTCTTCTGGGTCTCCCACATGGGTGCAGGGGGCCAAGAACTTGGGACCATCTTCCGCTGCTTTCCCAGGCCACAGCAGAGAGCTGGTTCAGAAGTGGAGCAGGTGGGACTTGAACTGAAAACCATATGGGATGCTGGCACCTCAGGCGGCAACTTTACCTGTTATGCCATATCGCCAGCCCCTAAAGTAAATCTTTTGAAATAATTTTTAGTTAAAAAAAAATCGTAAATCTAATTAAAAATGAATCTTAACAAAGAATGGGATGAGAGAGGTAGTAGGAGATGGGGTGATTTGTGGGTGGAAGGGAGGTTATGGGGGGAAAACAACTATAATCCAAAAGTTGTACTTTTGAAATTTATATTTATTAAATAAAATTTTCTTAATCATAAATCTTAAAAAAGAGTTTCTAGTTGTGATCTTAGGGAAACTTTTTTTTTCTTACCCAAAATACTATCTGTTGTATGCCACTGACCACATTATAGATTACATCACCTATCAGTGCACTTTCTATCTTCTCCCTTCTGTTTCACTGATGAGCTCTAAGCCTAGCTGACTTCTTCAGGTTCACATCGCCAATACATGTCAGAGTTAGTTGTAACTAAGGGTTCTGACTCTTATAACAAAGCTACCAGCAGTAATATTTTTAATTTCTAAATTATTGCAGAGTATTCCATTTACCTTGGTTGTTTCATTTAAATATTTCTTTTATTTTAACTTTAGGCCACTGACAGGTATGATACATTTGATCCAAGACAGTCCATTTCAGTCCAAGAATCCACAGTGGTGACAAGGACATGGGACTCCTCCTGCCAGATTACAAATGGTTCAATACAATTGACATCCTGGCTGACAACTGTGAAAAGGAACCTTGGATTATTTTATTTTATTTTTGTGGAACACCACAATCCCAAATCTATATTACACATCAGGTAATACCTTAACTTTTCAGATGTGTTTATTAATCCCTGATATATCTATTTAGATATTTAGTTGAAAACATTTTTTATCTATCAGTTTGGAAAATTCAAAAGTTCATTCTCTAAACTTTTGAATTTTCCAAATTGATAGATAAAACACAAGTCCTACTGTTATTTTCTCTCCATGTTTGATTAGAAAAAAACTTCAGAAATACAGAAAAATATAAGAATTTCGTAACACTCATTGCAGTTTGTCAGTTCTACCATTAATGTTTAACTATTCCTACTTTAACCTGTATCTGTCTATCCTTGTGTTCATCTCTTGATTTTTAATTTTTTGATGCATCTCAGAATAAGTTGAATACCAAGTTCTGCTATTTTTTATATATTTTTCATATGTCCTAAAATTACAACTATTTTATACTTTATATATTTTCTCATGTCCTAAAATTACAACTATTATGATACTTTACTATCTGATATCTAATATGAAATTTCCATTGTTCTTCTTACGTTGAGTAATATAAAATAGATTGGCTTCTTAATGTATTTGATCTCATAGAGAATCTATATTTTAGTATATGGTAATAATATGCTATTTGGCATTGAGTTACATAAATCAGGAAAGTTTTCAGTGATTGATTTCATATTGTTGAAAAGAGTTGTTAATCCAGATTCATAAGTGTGTTTTGTATAGAATGTCATTTATTTTAAGAGAAATTTTTTGGCATTTACAGTAATTCAATAAATTTTTAATTTTGGAAACCCAGATGAGGGTTATGATAGGAAAATTTTTTTCCACAGGATAAAACTCAATATTCCTTTAGAGAAAAAGATTTCATCTAAATATATGAGGAAACTTCAAAAATTCATAGAAAAATAGAACCAAATGATAAGTTTATTTTGCTATAAAAATTTTTGAAGTCCCTGCAGTTTTTCTATAATTCACATTTTGCATCAGCTTTCTGACAACCTCTCATTCTTGCATCAGTCTTCAGCCAGTCATTACTTCCACCTTGATCTGGGTTGTTCCTTAATGTTTCTTAAGAAATTTCATGAGTAATATGTGAATCTGAATCACCTGCTATCCTTGTTATAACTCTTACCTCACTATATTGCGATTTTATTTTTTCTTTTAATTTATTTACCTATTCCTTGAAAGCAGGACTTTGGCTCTTATCTTTGTGCATTTCAACATTGTTCCTGAAGCACTGAAAGCACTCAGTCACTATTGTACGATAACAGTGGAATGTAAAATATGTTTAAAACTGAATTAATTTTTTTCTTTCTTGCTAAGGCTTCAAGTTCCCTGTAGAATTCTAAAATAACCTTTGCTAATGAGGATGTCTGATACTGTTACTGTAAAAGATGAAACTGAAACAATGAAGGATTTGGAGGCAGATATGAAAGATACAACCAGAGTTGAAAATCATATCAAATCAGAAGCCTATGGGAAGATTTTGGCGGAGAAGAATGAACGTTGTATTGACAACAATATTGATTTGCAGGTAAACTGGATTTTTTTCCTTAGCTACAAATACTGTATATTGAGTATATAATTATACTTCTTTTCATATAAAACCAACTTTGCAGAATCCCAAAAGGCTAAACTGACCCATTCAGGACTGCTTACCGGCTGATTTTTAGAACCATCTTGATATGCTTTCTGAGTCTTACCTCTTTTATTTGTTTATATCCTATAGCATACTTTGGCCATTGTTTGTATGTGGCCAATGCGTTTTTATTGACTTTGCTAATGCTGTAAGAGTTCAAAATTTAACCTAAGAGCTCTTAGAAGGGCAATAGACTAAAACTGCAGAACATTTTTTGGCCAGGGGATTTCTCTATATAACTGGAAAAAAAAAAAGAGTTTGGGGAATAAAAGTCACTTGATGATGGCTTCTGGTACTCTGCATATGTGATAACTTAAAACTAACCACAAACAAGGTTTCCAATCCGAGGCATTGAGGGAAATTTAATTGATGGATTCAAAGCGGGTAAGAGTGGTTTCAAGTAGTATTTTTCATACTCAGTTCTAATATGAGGTGTTCCGTCTATCTCTTAGCTCAAAATGATAGATTAATTTTGAAACTTTCTTTTAATATCTCATTATTTGTGGACCATGAAATGGAACAAGACTTGGCTGACTAAATTTCTATTCTACAAAGTATCCAAAGAGGACCCTTTCTGATGTTAAGTGATTGATGGGTTGACCTAAAGAATCCAAGACTGCTTGTCTCACATGTGTAGAAATTTGGTGTTGGACATTAATTGCTAGAATATATGGAATTCTAGGTTCATCTGGATGTAAGGCACCTATCCCTCTAACATGGGGTGGGGGGGCTATGCAATCTGTCTTCTCAGGTAGCAGCTGAGGAGTCTGAGAGAATGTTCTGTGTTAACTACCACATATCAGAGAAAAAATATGATATTTGTCTTTTTTGGAGCTGGCTTATTTCACTAAGCATATTAAACAGAATACAAAAAAAAAAAAAAGGACATCCTGTAACATGATTGTTGTCTTAGCCCTTATTTATGCTCCTGTGGAACTATGGTCTTCCTGCTTTTTGCTTTTTGAATATTATGGTTAGTGGTGAATTAAGCCTGTGATTACAGAGTGGTTTGAAATTACGTCTTTGCAAAAATTAAAGAAAAAAGAAGGAAGGAGGGGATTGAGAGAGGGAAGGAAGTATGGTTATCTTTTTAGAACTGTACCTGTGAAATCTGTTCTCTTTATATTAATAAAAATTAAAACCAAAACAAAAAAGCGAGAATGTTCTAAGACAGCTAAGCAGAAATTCAGGGTTTATTATGACCTATGCTTCGAAGCCCCAGAATGTTACTTTGACTGTCAAGTCAATAAAGGCAGCCCAGGAGAAGGAGAACTTAGACCCCATCTCTCGTAAATTGTAGCCACCTTTAATCTACCATAAAATGTTATCCTATACCACTGTCTTTCACACTAATGTTTTTAGTTTAGCCTTGTGAATAAAAAAAATTATTTTTGGAAAAAATACCATATTATCATTTCTATCTCTTAAAGATTGAGAGAGCTACATGTCAAAAATTATAACTGTAATTATAGGTAAGGTAAAGCCAGTTATATATTATCTCATTCTTATTTTCAGTCATAACTTTGTTTTTTCTGTTTTATATACCAGATACCATGTGAAACAATGATAGCAACTCCTACAGCTATGGAAAACCATTTAGGCCCCACTGATTAAGTATATTCAAGTGATCATTATCTAAGAAATTATGAGAAATAACAACTTTTTGCAGTAATTTTTATTAATAGCATCTTTTAAAGCAACGAAAAGTACTTTGCCTGTAATCAGTACACTCAGTGATGGCAACATGCCAGTATCCTGATTGCATCAGAGAGAATCTGCTAAAATTCTGTTGCATTTGTCATTGAAATAATGAAATAATTTTGTTTCAGTATGTTTTCCACACCTCATGTTCATTCTCCCAAGTCATGGTCATCAAATGATTAACTTGGGTTATTGCATTTCCTTCCATGTCTGTTAGCAATAAGCACAAAAACTTAGAGATGGCCTCTATCATCATGGCGTGGCTCTTAGTAGGAAAATACGTGCATAAGTCTACCATTTATCAAAAAGCTATTCTGTGCCAAGGAAATACTGTGGTAAATAACATATGTGTTTTCTTTGACCTTGCTTTCCGTATAGCATGCAGACTAAAGATTGGGAGGTTGAGAAAAAGAAAATTGAGAATTTGTTTTAAGTTAATTCATTGAATGCTATATTAATTCTTTATTCAAATGTTCTTTAAAAATTTACCATTTGAGAGCTGACTAATTTGAGATTTTGAGGACCAAGATATCCCTATTCAAGTACCTCACAAGTAACTTATCATTAAAATAAACAGAACAGACTTAAGATTTAAATTCGGAATGGGAGTAGCTAAAACAAGAAAACTAGAAAATATTTTTCACAAAATAATAGATAACAAAGCTATTTTAAACATCATTAGGGAATAGAGTGTTTTGATTTTTAAAAGTCTGGCTGTTATATGAATTCTAAAATACAACTAGACATTTTGTCTTTCTTTGTTATCTAAAGGTATCTTAAATAGCAGCAATTATTTTTACTCAAATTTGGGCATATGTAGCAATAATATAGGTTTTTTATTGTGAATTTTGAGTAAATAGTTTATTCTAATAGAGTAGTAAAAAATTCTCTACTTTCCTCTCATTCTGAAAATCAGCTAATGTGAATACTAAGGTACTTCAAAGAGCTCTTGGAAAGATGAAATCAAGTTTAGAGACATACAGTGCAATGCAGCAAGGTAAACCACTGCTTGGGAATACTGCCTCCCATATCCAGATGCCTGGCATCTCGACCCACTTCCAGTTCCATTCCTGCTTCCTTCTCATGTTCTTGAGAGGCAGGAAATGATTGCTCAAGTACTTGAGTCCCTGCTTTCCACATTGGAGGCCAAGATGGAATTCCTGACTCCTGGCTTTAGCCTAGCCTGGTCCCTTCTGTGGGAGTCAATTAGAAAATTAACCATCACATGGAAGATGTTTATCTTTCTTTCCTTTAAGATAGATTTATTTATTTATTTGAAAGTCAAGAGTTACACAGACAGGAAAGAGAGGCAAAGAGAGAGAGGTCCTCCATCCACTGTTCTGCTGGCTCCAGAAGATGTTTATTTTTCTAACTATTTCTGTCTCCATCTCCTCCTCTGTCACTGTCACGTGGCTTTTCCAATAAATAAAAGACTAACAAGTTTTTAAAAATATTTGTATTTTTGTGCAAAAACCTGAAATTCATATGTACCTTTTTACAATATACATTTTTATGAAAAGTGTGCATTTGGGGCTGGCGCTGTGGCGTAGCAAGTAAAGCCACCACCTACAGTCCCAGCATCCCATATGGGTGCCAGTCCAAGTCCCGGCTGCTCCACTTCCAATCCAGCTCTTTGCTATAGCCTGAGAAAGCAGTAGAAGATGGCCAAAGCCCTTGGGCCCCTGCACCCGCATGGGAGACCCAGAAGAAGCTCCTGGCTCCTGGCTTCCAATGGCGCAGCTCCTGCCGTTGCAGCCAACTGGGGAGTGAACCATCAGATGGAAGACCTCTCTCTCTCTGCCTCTGCCTCTCCTTCTCTCTCTGTAACTCTGACATTCGAATAAATAAATAAATCTTTAAAAAAGGGAAGGAAAAAACTGCATGAATATTGATTTTTTTGGTACCAAAATAAAATTATCTTTTAATAATACATTTTGCCCATTTAATAGATGCATTTTGATAAATTAAAAAAGTTATTTTTAGGCTGGTGCCACGGCTCACTAGGCTAATCCTCCGCCTGCGGCGCCAGCTCCCTGGGTTCTAGTCCCGGTCGGGGTGCCGGATTCTGTCCCGGTTGCTCCTCTTCCAGTCCAGCTCTCTGCTGTGGCCCGGGAGTGCAGTGGAGGATGGCCCAAGTGCTTGGGCCCTGCACCTGCATGGGAGACCCAGAGGAAGCACCTGGTTCCTGGCTTCGGATCAGCACAGCATGCCGGCCGCAACATGCTGGCCATAGCGGCCACTTCGGCCGTGAACCAACGGCAAAAGGAAGACCTTTCTCTCTGTCTCTCTCACTGTCTAACTCTGCCTGTCAAAAAAATGCTTTTAAAAAAAGTTATTTTTAAATGAAAATATGTCACAACTTCTTTAATACTATGAAGACTACTCATGATCTTCTACTCTGCTAAGAATAATATTTGCATAATGATAATTTCATCAAACTGAAGAGATGCCAGCAGACATGAGATCACCTCAGGTGGTTCCAGAGATTATTTTACACAACTCCTTGAGCATTTCATGTACAAGTAATTCTACTTGTATGGCTCTTAGCTATTTTTTAAAAATTTAGTATATTTTTTACTCAAGATTTTCTTTTGTAATGTAATCTTTTATAGACATTGTAGGATTGCTTTTGCAAGAATTTTTCAGGGCCAGCACCGCTGCTCACTAGGCTAATCCTAGAGGTTCCGGCGCCTCTGGTTCTTTTTTTTTTTTTTTTTTTTTTTTTTTTTTTTTTGATAGAGTGGGCAGTGAGAGAGAGAGAGAGAAAGTTCTTCCTTTTCTGTTGGTTCACCCCTCAATGGCCCCTGCAGCCGGTGTGCTGGCAGCGCACCGCACTGATCCGAAGCCAGGAGCCAGGTGTTTCTCCTGGTCTCCCATGGGGTGCAGGGCCCAAGCACTTGGGCCATCCTCCACTGCCTTTCCGGGCCACAGCAGAGAGCTGGCCTGAAAGAGGAGCAACCAGGACAGAATCCGGCGCCCCGACCGGGACTAGAACCCGGTGTGCAGGCGTCGCAGGCGGAGGATTAGCCTATTGAGCCGCAGCCGGCACCCCTGGTTCTAATCCCGGTTGGGGCGCCGGTTCTGTCCAGGTTGCTCCTCTTCCAGTCCAACTCTCTGCTGTGGCCCGGGAAGGCAGTAGAGGATGGCCCAAGTGCTTGGGCCCTGCACCTGCATGGGAGACCAGGAGGAAGCAC